TGCTGGATAAGGCGGCGGTTGGGAGAGCTGGTCTGGGGGCAAGCTGGAGAGGATGGGTCGGGGTGGGGTAGAGAGAGGGGGGTGGGCCAAAAGGAGGAGTTGGTGTAGGGGTTCCCAAGGAAGTTGAGGGGGTCAAAACAGCCTCTTTAAGGGCGCCTCCCCTGGGGCCCCCTGCACCTTGTTGGAATGCTTTTCTAAAATGCCAGTTCCTGGGCCCCACCCAGGCTGCAAATGCTGGAACAGGAGTCTGCATTTCCAGGAGCAACCCCTGCAACCCCATGGTTTCAAAGTCCACCAAAGTTTGAGAAGAGCTGGTCTAGGGAGCAGATTGTTTATGGCCTTGGCCCCTCCGGGGGAGGAGGAGCCTTCCTTCCTGGAGATGAGTATTCTCAGCTACTAGGTCCACGCTGTAGCTGTTCTTAAAGTGTGCCCCTGGGCGGCGGGGTGGTGGCAGCGGCAGCTGCTGCTGCTGCTGCTGCTTGTAAGGTGCAGATGGGGGGGGTGCATGTGGGTGAAAGAGGGGGCACCTTTTAGGGAGAGGGTTTGGGGAATGCAGGAGTAGGATGAGGGTCATAATAGTACACCTGATGCCCAAGGAGCCACAGTGGCAAGGGTGAGCTTCATCTTAAGTCCAAGCCATCAGGGTCCCTGAGGCCTATAAGGAAAGCATTGGCCTTGGTTTGGACTTGAAGATGAAGTTCAAGCAGCAGCAGCAGGAGTGCCACTTATTGTGGGGTTTTGAGTGCACTGAGATGCACTTCCAGTCTGAGAGCTTTGAATTTCCACCCACTGTCAGTGTAATTTGGGAAATTGGGAAGGGATCAGTCCACTGGAATTAATTTTCCTTTAAAAAATGCCATTTTCCTTCTTTTCCTGGGTGTGCTCTGAGGCTCCCATCCCCATGTCTGGCACTGTTGAGTTATAAATAGCTTCAGCACATCAGGTGAGGCCAGGCTCTCTCCTGCTTCAGGACCCCATGAGTACAAACCTGTTTGTTTTAAGGCAGTGCTTTGTTCCTAGTCTGGGACTGAGACAAGCTGCTGGGCAGGTGTTTGCATCTGGTAGGTTCTTTAAGATTACTAGGCAGCATTCATCCGTAACGGTCACTGTACCTTACATTTGCAGAGGACTCATGAGGTGCCGTGACATCAGCTTATTTAATTTAGATTTCCACAATAGCCCTGTAGGGCATCATCTTTACTTTCTCCTGAGGAAAATTGAGACTCATGGAGGTGGGGGTGTTTTTCAAGGTCACTCGGTGAGGCCTCATGGCTCTCAGTTTGGTGCTCTTTCTACAGTTATCACACTATTGGCCACTGGTGTCACTCCCTATGATCCGAGCGATCCACATGTCCTTTATCTCTTATAACTAATTTAAAACTCCACCCTCGTGGGAGTGTAGCTCTTTAGTAGAACATCCTTGTCAGCACCACAAAAATAACTGCATACTCAAAAAACCCTGTTCTTTAGAGAAGCACTGGTTCAAAATACTCCCCACCCCCACCCCTGTACGAGAAATCAAACTCAGGACCTTGTGCTGGCATGGTGCTACTGAGCTAACCCCCCCCATCCCTCTCAAAATATTCTTAATTGCTTAGGCCAGGCAAAATTTGGAACTTACAGTTGCCTGTCCTTTGGTGTGGCTACTTTCCTCTCGCCTTCCTTTTCCTCCTTTGATTGCAGGCAACACCACCCAACATAGGTCAAGTCCTTTCTAACAGAATTTGGAGACAGGATCTTGAGAGTAGCAGGGAGACCATCTGGCCTGCCCAGCCCACAAGACATGGCTTTTTTACTTCCCAGTTGATTTTAAACCAAAGCTTCAGATAGAAAGCAGTTGTGGGAATTCAAGTTAGTTCACATTAGAAGCCATGACCAACTGCTGTTTGTCAAAACCTCCACCTTCTTAACTCACTGGGTGTGTCATTTTTATTGGACCAGCAGGCTGATTTTTCACCAGCTGTAGTCTAGAAGTGCATGCATAACTGGTTTATTTCCAGCGTAATCATATTTGAGTTTTTCTTTTCTAAATCCAGAGTTCAGAATTGTCTCTCTAAATTTTGAAAACCCATTATGAACTTGTCATGATTTTATCTCCCACTTCTCTGATTTGCTTCCCTGTCACTTTATTTCCTTCCAGTCTTGTCACTTGTCTTTTTTCCCCCCCTTAATTGCCCTCTTGGATATCCACGTGCATAACTTTTTTTGTGCATAACTTTTTAACTGAGGTGGGATCGGGTCCACACTAATTGATTAGTTTTGCTTTGAATAGGAGCAGTCTTCTTCAGCTCCAGCCTTCTTCCTCTCAAAACCTGCATTCAATCTTTTCTGCTTACTCAGGGATAAAGGCCTCTTGAAAAGGTTGTTCAGAAAGTGGTCCTGAAAAGACAGCTCCAGGTCTTCTCAGCCCAGTAACTCTAAAGCAAATCTGCAAACCCAGTCTTCCCCATCACTATACACATTTTCCCATAGCCTACTGTCTGCCTACCTCTTTGCTGGCTACTGAGATTTAGAAGTGAATCAGACACAGTCCCTGCCTTCTGTGAGCTCATAGGACTAGTGAATGCCTGTGTGCCAACTCTGTAACCGACACTCACAAATGTTATCTCTAATCTTCAGCAAAGAGGCACCTCTAGCTTTTTTTGTTTTGTTTTAGTTTTTGAGACAGGGTCTCACTATGTAGTTGAGACTGATCTGGAGCTCGCAGCGATCTTCCTGCCTCATCCTCCCAAGTGCTGGGATTACAGGCGTGTGCCACCATGCCCGGCTACCTCTAGCCTTATTTACAGTGAAAAAGACTGAGCCTCAGAGAGGTTAAATAATATAGCCAAGGTCACCACATCACATAGCTCAGGTGGCAGCCCTGGATAGCTATAACTTGAAGGAACAGAACCAGGAAATACAAAAGTTCTTGACCTGAGGGCCTCAGCCCCTTCAAGCTAAGCTATCAGGAAGGGTCAGAAACCACTGCCTTTCTGTAGCTTCTCTCCTGCAGGTGGTAACCCCATGCCCTGTTCTGCAGGGTGGGACTACATCAGACCTCAGAAAGTGTGTGGTTAACATTCCAGAAAGGCCAGGCACAGATTATGTCGTCTCTGAAACAAACCAGCCAGCCTGGTTCAAGCACCAAATTGTAACAGAAGTACAGGGTGGGCTTTGAAAATGCAGGGGATGGAATTGAGCCTCTGAGAAAGATGTGTCTGCCCAGAGGCTCCTGGGATTGAGGTACCCTCTTGTTCGGTGTCTCATCATAGATTTTATTTACAGATAAGGAAAAGGGGAAAGAAAAGCTGGAGGAGGATGAGGCAGCGGCAGCCAGTACCATGGCTGTCTCCGCCTCCCTCATGCCACCCATCTGGGACAAGACCATCCCCTATGATGGCGAGTCTTTCCACCTTGAGTACATGGACCTGGACGAGTTCCTGCTGGAGAATGGCATCCCTGCCAGCCCCACCCACCTGGCCCAGAACCTCCTGCTGCCCGTGGCTGAGCTAGAAGGGAAGGAGTCAGCCAGCTCTTCCACAGCTTCCCCACCATCTTCTTCCACTGCCGTCTTTCAGCCCTCGGAAACTGTATCCAGCACAGGTTGGTGACGGGTCTCTGGGCACGGCTGCTTCTCACTGGGAGCACCTGCAGCCGCATACTTAGGTACTCCTCTGAAGGGGGTTACCCGGTGGGCTGCAGTGTGGAGCAGTCCTCTGTGCTGCCCTCCAGCACTGTCCCCCAGGCTAGAGATAAAACGAGCAGTGACCCCAACAACCGTGAGCACCTATCAGTTGGTTGTTGTGCTGGTGGCCAACACAGTGGGGTGAGCCCTTTTGCTCAGAAACTTTACAGGCAGGAATCCCATCCTGCATTTCCTTAATGCTGTTCTCGCATCATTTACACACTGCAGCGTTATTAGGAAGCTCAGGCAGTGATTTTCATTTTTAAAAATTAATTAATTTATTTATTTTTGAGACAGGGTCTTGCTATGTAGTTCAGGCTGGCTTCAGACTCAGTATGTAGTCAGGGTGGCCTTGAACTCATGGCAATCCTCCTGCCTCAGCCTCTCAAGTGCTGGGATGACACCTGTGCAACACCATACCGACTCAGCGGGCAGTGATCTTAATTCCATTGTTATTATAAGTGCCAACATTTGTTTAGCACTTATTTTGTGCCAGAGACTAACACAAAATCATCAGAAGAATCTTATGAGTAGTATTACCCCTGTTTTACAGATGAGAAAACAGATACAGAGAAGTTAAGTAACTTGCAAGATCACACAGCTTGAACCCAGGAGGTCTGTCTCCTCAGGCAGGTGCCGCTTTGGCAATGGCACAGGAAGGCATTCTCACCACCTGAAAAACTGCTTCAGGATCCGCCCTTCAGCTTACTCTTTTCCTATTTTGCCTCTGGGAGGTTGTTTGATGTCCCTTAGACATGAACCTATGAGGCAGACACAGCTCCTGTTTCACTCAGTGGGCAGCACTTTCTGCAGACTCTCAGAGATGTGCAGGGCTGATGTTTTCTAGTTTCTCACCCAGGGAACCCACACCTGGGAAATTCTCATGCTGTTTTTCTTTAAGTTTTTAGTATGTAAAATTTTTCAAACAAAATACAGAAGTAAGAGACTGGGGGTATAGTTTGTTGTAAGAATGTGTGCCTAGCATATACAAAGCCCTGAGTTCAATCTCCAGGGCCAAAAGTGAAAAACAGAAACTTAAGAGATTACTATAAGCAGCTTCCTTATAACCATCACTCACCTTCCCCAGGTTTTGTTTATTCTCTTCCTTGTTTTGCCATACTGCAGATTGAACTCAGGAGCACTTTACCCCTTAGCTACATCCCCAATCCTTTTTTTACTGTATTTTAAGGCAGAGTCTCACTAAATTATCCAGGGTAACTTCAAACTCGGAACTGCCCTGCCTCAGTCTCCTGGCTTACAGGGATTTGCAGTTTTTCTTTGTTTTGTGAGACAGGCTCTTACTATGTAAGGCTGCCTTAAACTCACTATGTGACACACACTGATCTTGCAGTGATCCTCTTGCTTCAGCCTCCCCAGTGCTGGGGTTACACCACCATGCCCGGCAGCTTTAGCAATTAACTCATAAAGAAGTATTTTTCAGGGGCCGGGGATTTAGCTCAGTGGTTCGGTGGCCTGCCTTGCAAGCGCAAGGACCCGAGTTCAATCCCCGGTACCAAAAAAAAAACGAAGTATTTTCAGTCAAATGCCAGATATAACATGTTTTTATCCATAATCATTTTAACATATATGTAAAAATAGAAGGGTCTTTTTTAAATAAGAGAAGCACCAATTTTATATCTGCAATTGACAGTAAGTGCATCAGCATTCAGATTTCCAAAGCTTTTCTCATAAATGTCATGGTTATTTAAATCAGGAGCCACATAAAGCCTGCACGTTGCATTTGGTTGATATGTGTCTTAAATTTCTTGGTATTTATAGGTTCCTCTTCCTTTTTTCTTTTCTTTGCCATTTATTTGTTAATGAAACTGAACCATGTGTCCTGTGGAGTTTCACAGGTTTTGGACTTTGCTGGCTCTGTCTTTGTGGCGTGTTTCTGTGCCCCTCATTGGTTTTTCTTACAAATTGATGATATTAGAAGCTTTATCTGATTCAGGCAGAACCCCCCGCCACCCCAGTACCAGGGTTTGAACTCAGGACCTTGTACTTGTGAGGCAGGTTCAGCACCACTAAGCTAAACCCTTGCTCCAGAATTTTCATTTGAAAGCAGCGATTTTGTTGCTGGTTGAGTAGTCCTAAAAGGCTGTATATGAGTAGAAGGTAGACAAGAAATGACCCCGTCTGGTACCTTAGGCCACTTAGGTGGTGTTTATCTTTGATTTTGTCTTAATTAATAATTTTGCAGTATTGGGAATTAAGTTAGAGCCTTCACACAGAGCTACATTCCCACCCTTTTTTCAGATTTTGAGACAGGTTCTTGCTGAGTTGCTCAGTTGCCTAGGCTGGGCTAGAACTTGGATCCTCCTGCTTTAGCCTGCCAGTGGTAGAATTACAGTGGACCCTTGACTTATGAACTCAGTTCATTCCCGAGGGCTGGTTGTAACTTAGGTTGGTCAGTTGCCTTCAGAGTCTCTCTCTTTATAATTTTAGGCCACACTTTATTCCTGGCAAATCCCAGTGTCCTTATACATTGGCCCAGGATGTCTCAGTTAACCCCACACAGGAGAGGATGTTGTAATGTTCCTTCCAGAACTCTTTAGGGGTTAAATCTGTATCTGGAAGCACAAGTGGCCAGCATTCAGGTCAAAGCTCAAGACTTTGTTCATAAATTAAAACTAAAATTCTGGCTGTAACTCAAGTCATTCATATGTCGGGCTGGTCATAACTTGAGGGTCCACTGTATAGGCATATGCCATCATACCCAACTTGATTGTGGGGGTTTTTGTTGTTGCTTTTTGGTACCGGAGCTCAAACTCAGGACTTTGTGCTTACGAGGTGGGTGCGGTGCTATTGAGCTAAATCCCTGGCCCTTGATTGTGTTTTTAAATGATATTTAATGAAGTATAGCATATGCATGTGCACATTTCATAAGTGTACAATTCAATAAATCTTTACACGGTGGAACCACTATGTAATCAATGTAGAACACTGTTGGTGTCCTTGAAGTGACATGTGATTCTGTATAGTTCTTATTCCCCAAAAGTAACCACGATTCTAATTTCTGTCACCAAAGATTAGTTTTGCTCATAGTTGAAATTTTTATAAATGGAATTGTATATTATGTCCTCTCTTTTTTTAAAGATGTTAGGCTATGGGTACAGCTAGTAGTATAGTACTTGCCTAGCATGTGCAAAACTCTGGGTTTGATCCTCAGCACCATACATAAAGTTAACTACATTTATATCATCTTACCTTTATAGCTTTCTATGGCTAACTGTCTAACATAAATGATGTGGGCATCTCACTATCTTAACATTAACAAAACAGCTTTCCAGATTATACTTATAAAATGCTATGGGGGGTGGGTATCAGGGATTGAACTCAATGCCTGCAAGGCAGGCATGGTGCCACTGAGCTAAATCCCTGGCCCTAGAATGCTCTTTTGACCAAAACAATCGTTATGTAGATTTTGAGATTTGTATTGATGAAATATAGACATGATAGAAATAGAAGTAGGGTTGGTCTTGGTGGCTAGGGCCTGTTATTCCAGATACTCAGGAGGTGAAACAGGAGGATTGCAATCTTAGAGCAACCTGGGCAACTTCATGAAACCCTGTTTTAAAATAGAAATGGCTGAGGGCCGGGCGTGGTGGCTCACGCCTGTAATCCCAGCACTTGGGAGGCTGAGGCAGGAGGATCGCTGTGAGTTTGAGACCAGCCTGGGCTACATAGTGAGTTCCACATCAGTCTCAACTACATAGTGAGACCCTGTCT